TTTCAGTCTCAAGATAAGTCTCCCCATCGGAATAATCAGAAGCAGAGTCTTCAGAATGATTTTTTAGATTGCTGTAAATGTAGCATTTCCAGTCCTGGCTTGTCTCATTTAGTTTATTCAAAAGAATGAACTGAGTAGGAACTCTGACATAACCTCCAACTATTTTTACATTCAAACTGTTAATTTGCCCCTCAGTTTTGCTGCCACTGTATGCCATTAACTATTTGGTGTGGGGCGGGGGGGGCGGGGGGGACAGGTCCAGATATCACTCATTTTTGAATTTTCTGGCATTTTCCATTGTTATCCTAGTCAAGCCATTTACAACTGACATAAAACCAGTCGTAACAGACTCATAGACACACAAAACAGACTGATAGTTGCCAGAGGAGAGGGGGTTGGAGGACTGGGTAAAAAAAAGTGAAGGGATTGAGAAGTACAGATTGGTAATTACAAAATACCAAAGAATGTAAACAACAGGATGTAAAGAACAGCACGGGGAATACAGCCAATAATATTGTAATATCTGTGTACGGTGCCAGGTGGGTACTGGAAATATCAGGGGAAATGCTTTGTGAAGTATATGGTTGTGTAACCACTATTCTGTATACCTGAAACTCATGCAAATAATATTGAATATAAACTGTAATTAAAAATAAAATGTAACGTTCTTTAAAAAAGAAAGAAAGAAAGCCAGGTCCTGTTCTCAGTTCAGTCTTGGCATAAAATCACAGCCAAAGCAATAACAGTCCATCCGAAGATGAAAACAATTAAACTCTTTATTTGCCTCTCAAGAAAATCCCACAGGACGAATACACAACATTTCTGAAAACACAGTAGCGAACAGACGTTGGGAGAGTTAGAATTTTAATGTGTGAGACACCGACAGTCAGTCACACCATGGCCTTTGAGGGAAAGAACATTGTGCTCGGAGCAGCAGGCCCGGAAGCTGACCCTGGCTGCCAATACTCAAAGCAAAAGGAAAGTTCCGGCTGAGGGGAGGGCACCGAGGGGCTGCCAGGTGCTGGCGGCCCACAGGCTGACGTGAACGGTGCTTGAAGATGTGCCTTGCAAGCCCAGCGTCGGAGAATATGGCCCTACAAAACACATTAAGGAATGATGGGCCCTGCAAAATGATCGTTTGAAAGGTTAATGCTGCTTTGACATATTTTCACACTGTCATTTTTTTAAAAACCATGAATTACAATGCAAATTTTCAGGAACCCGTCAAAAGCAAGGTCCATTCATAATGTCACTGGACATAACCTCGGCATGATATCAGCACAAGCAAGTCGTGTTATCATCAGAGACAGGCGGGGAGGGTGGGGAGGAGAGACCCAAAGAGGAAATTAGCTTCCTTTATAAATGCTTCTTTGTTTTTATTGTCCCCACTGAGACAAATAAAGAGCTGAAGGTCTAGAATGTGAGTTAGAAGTTCAGCACTCAAGACAGATTTGGGAAACATCTGTGTTCCTTGTCTACGAATGTAGGACTAGTCCCCGGCAAAGCACCTTTTGCCTGGATTTCAGGAACACGAGACGTATGTTTATGTGTATTCGTGAAGATCAAGTTCCTTTCTCAGGCTGCACAGCTGTGGGAGCCGGGCTCCTCCAAGGCCACGCCAGTCACCGCTACGGAGGTTCTGGGACCGCAGGATGCCTGAGGGCCTTCCGACCTTGCGGCCCACAGAGTCCCAAGCAGAAGTAAGAAGACCTGTTCCTCCTCCTCAGAGACTTTTAAGGTTCATGTGGTAAAAATACGTTCCATTTTACCATTCGTGGCACCCCTAAACAGACAAACACGAGGGACAAATTCTCTGTGCTACGAGGCCAAGCTTGTCTGGTTGACATGTCTCCCCTCAGACAAACCTTCTCCCTCGGGGGTCCTGGCAGGAACCGCCCCCCGCCCCAGGGTGTCAGGCCCCTGATGGACTCGGCTGTGGTCCAGAGAGGGACACAGCTCAGGTTAAAGCTGAGGCACCCCACCTGAGCCCTCCTTTCCCCCAGCTGGTCAGCCTCACACAAGCCAAACCCACGGCCACCAGAACCCATAGATCCCTGAGGAAAGAGCAAGCATGGGGTCAGACGGCTCTTCCTGGGCTGCAGCTGACAAGAAAGTGTTGCTCCCAGAGAAGAGTGACATGAGTACAGAATGTTTTAAAAACAAGGCAAGGGCGTTTTTGGCAAAGGCAATCAGATTCGAAGCTAAATGCCAGACTCCCTGCTCTGTACCAATTCCCGGAGCAGCCTCGGAAAAGCAGGGAGACGTCCAAACCCTTTCACTCTTGCAGGAGGTTCGCCAGCCACGTTCTGATTGTCAGGTGCTTTCCACCAGAGTGGCTTTGAGCAGCCAGAGCCAGGAAACCCAAAGGGTCTGTTCAGGGGCCAGGCCCGTGGCCCCCGCCCCCACCCCCATCCACGCCCCACCATACCACACCGGAGCAAAGGATGTCTTGCACTTGTGAAGCCCATCTGAGGACCATACAAACATCCATAACAAGCCCTTCACAACCACTTGCAGTCTTAGAAGTAAGCCCTCCCCACCAATACCCAGGTCACCACCGATCTGGGGGCCACGCTCTGCTCCTATTTACCATGACCCCCGTGTGCCTCCCTACCACATGCACACTGTATCCCAGATGGCCACACCATCTATTCCCACAACTACTGCTACGGTACCTGTCTCCTCTCATTACTATTTGAGTATTTCCTGGGGAATGCTCAACCGACTTCTCTACCAGGGCTTGCTTTCATCTTACTCATTCAGAGTTGTAGCCTTTCCTCCTTCCCTCTACAAGTGTCAGACATTTATGAGGCAGAAATAAAACAAAAATATGGAGGGGAAAAAACAGTTCAATATTTTATCATGCTTCTAATTCTACTTGTGCACTGTTTGGGGTGTGTGTTTTTTTTCTGCGATGTGTTATTTTTACAAGTCAATTATTTATGCAAATTTTAACTGCATCCTTCCCAGGAATACAACAGTCTTGCCTAGTCCAAAGCTGTCAGTAGCCAAACACATCTCAGAAAAAAACACACACACCCCAAACAGTGCCAAATATCTGATTGTATATGTACTGTTGAAGCAACATGGGCATTCAAAATAGCAACTCTTAATAACAGAGGCAAATTACAAAACTTGCAGTCTTAGCTTCGGGTTCACCCAAAGAGACTCAGGTGGTTTATTTGGGAGGTAATTTCAGGATGCACAATAATAAGGAAGTGGGAAACATGAGACAGAGAACGGAGAGACGCCCAGAAAAGTCGGGTAGTTACCACTGTGGGTTACTGAGGCTACATCCAATGGGGGACCTTTTGGGAGAATGTGGAAGCACAACTCAGGTCAGCCAAACACAAGGTGGGGCAGCTGAAGCATCCGTCCTCCAAATCACATCTTCCAGTAATGAGGATGGCCCCGGGAGCCCTGGCTCCCCACATTTTGGGGGTGCTCCTCTTAAAGTGAAGACAGGCTGGCATGGGGCCAGAGAAAGACGTTAGGCAGACAAGAGAGACGCAGGCCTTGAGGTGGGAAGGCGTGAGTGTTCTGAAAACCTGTACAGGTGAACTCAGGTGGATGTAGGATGAAGCATCCGTAGCATCTGCCATGACTCTATTGGAAGGTACGCAAAAACACCTGAGTAAACAGATTCGTATTTTCCTGATTTGGGAGCAATATATGTTACATAGTGTCTTTGTCAGCTTGAGCTACTATAATAAAACACCACAGACTGGGTGGCTTAAATGGCAGAAATTTATTTCTCATAGTCCTGGAGGCTGGGAAGTCCAAAATCAAAATGCTTGCCAATCCGGTTCCTGGTGAGAGCTGTGTTGCTGGCTTGTCTTCTTGCTGTGCCCTAACTTGCCTGGGGGAGGGGCCATCGATCTCACCTCTCTTCTTCTCTGGTCACTAACCCCACTCATGAGGGCTCCATCACTGTGACCTAATCACCTCCCAAAGGCCCCACTTCCGAACACCATCACATTGGGGATTGGGGCTTGAGCCTATGAACACATTCAGTCCACAGCACATAAAGATGTCGATCCTTCACACATTTATTCATAAAGGCAATGCTATTCCAATAAAAAATCCTAACCAGGAGTCTCTTGGAATTCAACACAATTATAAAATTAATCTGGAAGGTGTAGTGAGTAATGTAGCTTAAAAGGGACCACATACTAAACCTGACAAGCGCAGGGGAGTCCTGGGTGGTGGGCCTTATAAACTCAGAGACCAAAAGTAACCACATAGGATGGTCTGAACACTCATGGTGGGTAGTCATATCCTAGGACTGTAGCTTCCCGGGCAAAGGTGGATCTTCACCATAAAATTAATCTGGAAGGTGTAGTGAGTAATGTAGCTTAAAAGGGACCACATACTAAACCTGACAAGCGCAGGGGAGTCCTGGGTGGTGGGCCTTATAAACTCAGAGACCAAAAGTAACCACATAGGATGGTCTGAACACTCATGGTGGGTAGTCATATCCTAGGACTGTAGCTTCCCGGGCAAAGGTGGATCTTCACCTTAAGTGAAAACGTCTGTTGTCTCTTAGCAAGCGCAGGGGCCCATCAAGGGACAGCCTCCTGCACCGGAGCAGGAGGTCCCGGTACCGCTCCTTGTTACCTTGTGCCCTGCGTACCCCCTTGATGTGCTGTAAATGTTCATTAACTATCCTGTACCCACCAATGTGAAAGAAGATTTCTCTATTTTGCCTTTTTACCCAGTGCCAGAGATTCCCCCACTTTGCTTTGTCCCGCCTCCTTA